TCATTTTTCTAACCTGTCAAACTGGGTTGGGTTTTCATACCATGTCAAAATGGGATGTGGATGCAACACGCAAGCAGCTTTCAACCAATCTTCTAAAAACCAGACTGGACATTGAATCGAAAAGTTCAGCGGTTTATAGTTCTCATGATTCAATTTGTCAGACTATTGGTGGAACTGATGATGTAATAATTAAATAAAAATTTAATTAAAAAATAGTTTAATGTATATATGATAAATTCATAATAAATCTAATTATCAATACAATAACACAAGATAACCATAAATGATTTGAAAATATATTGGACATTTGAGAGGGTCAATTTTTTTATAAGTTCTTGAATTCTTTTAGTATTTATTCGTGAAGCCAAAAAATATTCTGTTTTTGTTTCAAAACTATTCCTGGTTTCCGGTCTAATTTCACATTCTAGCTAATCACGACTCCATTTCCATTTAACATGAGTCAACTGTAAAAACGATTTTTTCAGTTCAAGTTAGCGAGTTGGACCAACAATGATCAACCCTTCGGGTTGCCGGGTCTTCTAACCATTGGTTTCAACATTATTGTTAAAAGAAAATGAGAACGTGTTGACATTATTCTAGTTGCAATCGAAGAATATATATCACCTGCTTGCTTTGAGATAGAATCATACATAACATAAACACAAGGGAAGCAGACCCGCACTGCCTCTAGCTACGTACTTGTATATAGCTTTTTGCTATTTTGATATTTGACGAGGTAATAACGATGATGATCGCCGGTGAGATTTTGTAGTTTTCTAGTTTCCTTGTGGGCTAGCCCTCTCTCACTCTTCCCCCAAATTAAAAACATGGGTCCGCATGTCGTGCTCAATGAATCTTTGAGTATGACGTGCTCATCCCCCAAACATTGTCCTTTGGGGGTAAGATGAGACGCCCCCTCTTTTTCTTTTTCGTTTTAATAATTCTATTAATTTTATTTTTTATTTATTAGATTAACTTGTATTTAGCATTCTAAAATTATTTTTAATAGCACTCAGTATTCTAAATTAATTAATTTTTAATGTATTTACTATTCTAAAATATTTTTTCAATACTACCCAGTATCCAAAATTAATTAAATGTTAATACATTAATATCTTAAAATATTTTTTAGTAACACTTAGTATCCAAAATTAATTATTTTTTAGTGAATCCAGCGTGGGGGAGTATTTTTCTAATTGCATCCACTATCCTAAATTAATTAATTTTTAGTGCATTTAGTATTCTGAAGTATTCTTTAGTAACATTCAGTATTTTAAATTAATTAATTTTTAGTGAATTCAGCATCCAAAGTATTTTTTTTAGTAACATCTAGTATTATAAATTAATTTTTAATATATTTAGCATGTTTAAATATTTTCTAATATAGCTCCCACCGACGACAGTGTTTGTGAGACGAGCATTCCCCATCATTGATTGAATGAGCAGGGAATGCAGATTCTTAAAAACACATTCATTACTAGCTACTTCCCGATTAAAGGCAGCGACAGCTACAGTTCCCTTTGGACCCAATGGAGGAATTTTCTTTTGTACTTGCCAAAAGCAAATGTGTTATTATATATAAAAAAAATTGAAAATATTTCTCATAAGTCTCAAATGACGGCCCCCTATAGGAAAGCAAATTTGGCTGTTGATTTTGTCGTCAAAGCTTCATTGGACAAATCTTGCCCGTTTGGCTGGGTTTGACTGGCTTTATAAATGCTTTATTACTATGAATGATGAATTTCTTGTTGGGGGAAAAAAATAAAAATAAAAGGATTATTTCTCATGGGTCTCATTTTTCCACTTTCTGCCATCAATTATTATGATTCCCAATTTCCCATGAGAGGGAGATCGCGTCTAGGGCAGGTGCGCCTGGTATGAGCGGTGATTGGTTAAGCTAAAAGAAGTATGATACTCTTTCGGTCTTTAATATAAGACCTAATTATTGAGTTGGTTTTGATCATAAATATAAGACCCATTTCTCATATTTATCAATTTTCTCTAAATTACCCCTATAGATATTCTCTAAACCATAATCAAGTAGAAGAGGGAGAAAGGTATTAAGAAAAATGATCATGATGTTTTAGGAAAAATATGTCACATTTTTTATAATTAACTAACTTACCTAACTTCCTTAATCTAATCAAATTAGTCAAATAGATTTTATATTAAGGACCGGAAGAGTATTACACTAAAGATCGTACAAGAGCGGACTTTGTTGTGATACATTGTGCCTTAGCTTAATACCTTTAAAGGACATCCTTTTTATATTTTAAATTTTATCAAAAACAACTTTTGATGAGAAACAATTGACCAAATTATGCTACGAGGAGATGCTGAGAAGAATAAGTGGCTGAAATAGATTACTACCTCATGCCCTTAATATAAGATCCTGTTTAACTTTTATTTTGGTCCTAAATATAAGACTCCAATCTACTTTGTCTCTCATATTTATACATTTTTTTCCAAAGTAACCTTTCTAATAATAAGAGTTCTAGTCAATACACTTGATTAGCAAGGATATTTTAGAAAAGACAATACCTATTTAGGACAAGTAACTAACTTAACTTACTTTCCTAATCTCTTCAAATTAGTCAACTGGCTCTTATAATTAAGACCGGAGGTAGTATTAAATTTGGACACACTGATAATAATAACCCAAAAAAATCTGACAAATGAGGCGAGGAGCATTATGTTATTCTATCCCCTCGAGACAAAAATGATCGATGCTGGTTACAGGATTCGAGTGGTTCAATCATGACTCGTGAGGGGTTTAATTTCATTTATTGACATGGAAGGAGGGCGATGAGCAATTTAGTTAGGTAGGAGGAAGGTGCGAAGTAATCCCTCCATCAAAGGCAAGTTTCTTCGTCAAAAATAAATAAGCATCTTCATGAAAGCTTCATACTTGTGTTTGGTTTTGAGTATGATAATGATATATTGGAACATTATTAATTACTACTAATAAAGATATTAAACTAACCAATCAGAACATATATAACATACCTAGTGTGGAATCAAAAGCTTCGATTGTTGCCTCTTTCTCCCTTTCTTTTTGCTTCTCTTTGAAACTACTTTTTATTTGAAACCGTTCCAATACTGAAGAGAATATTTATTTACACGAGTCTGATCATCTTTCGTATTTTGCCTTCTGTAAATTATGGGGCTCTGATCCGAGCATAATCATTTGTCCCTTACCTACATGTGATCTTTCTTTTTAATTTTTTTTATATGGAATTTCAATTACAAAAGTGCCATGGATGACGTCTTGAATGAGCACAGGCGCTTCACAATTAAAACCATTAATTTTTCTAAGGTTCGGTTACGTTATATATTTCTTGGATTGCGTGTGTGGCATGACGTCAAACAAGTCCCTGGGGGTAAGCTAGCAATTAAACCTCCAGACTTTAGTAATGAAATTCCAAAGATCCAAAATCAAGATCCTTTTTTAATTTGCTCAATTATACATTTACTATTTTATTAATTATTTTTAATTATCACTTGATTGTAACAACAATAACTTTTATTTTTATTTCGGAACATAATTGAAGTTTTATCCACAACATTATTATCATATATAATTTCCATTGCATCCAAATCTTAAAAGAGATGGCATTATAATAAGATTGAAAAAAATGGGAATATTATATTTGTTTATACTTAACTTAAGATGTCAATTTAGCACCAATTTAATACTATATTAAAAAATAACATACAATTTTTAAAATTTAAATAATTTTTTTTTGTATTTGAAATATAAAAATTATATTAGTTTTCAAGGAGGGATTCGGAGCAGTGGGAGGCGTAACCATAGTAGGACCAGTGCACTAAGGGATAGAATTAAAAAAATAGGGACTATTTTGATATGATTTTTTTAAGCTAGCACCTGCCAACCTACAGCCTACTAACCTGCGGCTTTGGTAGGCTAGCCAGCCCGCCCTTTTTTAAAAATTTTATTTTTATTTTAATAAAAAAAGTTTTATTATTTTCACTTAATTTACATATAATTTGTATTTTGTTAGAAACTTTGATTCTAAATTTGATTCTTATTTTTTTATTGTTTTACTATTTTTATAATAATAAAATAACTATTAGCAATGAATTGTATGTTTATATTTCAACTTTTGAAACTAATTTAATTATATAATTATATGGCAATATAAACATAAGAAATATTTGGTTTATAAAAATTTATAATTTAATTTAAAAATTTTAAATATATATGTAAAAAGATTTTTTTAAAAAAGATGAAGGTCGGCGAGTCAACTCACCAACCATCCACCCAACCCTTAGCGGGGTGGGTTCGTAAAATGAAAGCCCATAAGAAAGCGGTCTTTTTAGCCCGTTTTATCACTTCTAATAAAGAAGAATGACTGATCGTGATCCACTTAAGGTTAAATGTTATTAAGGTCCAAATTCTATAACATTTGAGCTTCCAATCTATATTTAGAGCACTAACTAAAACTAGTCCCGTAATCATAGCACAGAGTAGGACTAATCTTAATAGAACAAAACATGACAAAATAAGATTTTAATTGTTGTTGAGAGAAGCATTCATATTGAGTACTTAATCATCTCGAAAACATTCTTTCCAATAAAAAAATAAATATGCATAGCGCAAAAAAAAAGAAGAAGGACAAAATGCTCCATGAAATGATTACGGTTAAGAACCCCACGCAAGAAATCAGGATAGAAGTTCCCCCGGGGGCGGGGGGCTTTGGCTATCTACGTTATTGTAGCCTAAAAAAAAAAAAAAAAAAGAAAGAGGACAAAATGCTCCATGAAACATAACATTAGCATAGAAAAAGGCTGCCCAAAAAAAAAAAGTGCGGGTTATCATCACGTAGATAGCCAAAGCCAAGATAAGAGAAATAGATGGATTCATACCTTGGCCGAAAAGCCAATCTCCTCCGTCGAAACTTATCTATCGACGTTCCATAATCATCCATATCGATATGCACGGATCGTCATTTTGAGCTCTCAATCGATCATAGATCTAATGGTACCGATCAATACGCGAAACGGCGGGAGATTCAAATCTGGACTTTCCCGCCTCAATATATACCCCAAAAAGCGCAAATAATGTCCCATTACTCAAACACAGAAGGCAAACCCCAAAAATTCTCAAATCTCAAATCTGCCTCCCTTCTTTCACTGATCCTTTGAGAAATTCTGAGAAAACGTCTATTTGTGGGAAAAAAGGCAAGGGTCTGGGTAAAAGAGGAGCAAAGAGGCATCGTAAGGTCCTCCATGATAACATCCAAGGCATTACGAAGACTGCGATTCGAAGGATGGCGAGAAGAGGAGGCGTTAAAAGAATAAGTGGTTTAATCTACAAAGAGACGAGAGGTGTGTTGAAGATTTTCTCCGAAAACATGATTCGCGATGCCGTGACTTACACTGAGCACGCTAGGAGGAAGACTCTTACTGCCATGGATATGGTTTATGCGCTTAAGAGGCAGGGAAGGATGCTCTATGATTTTGGTGGTTAAAATTATTTATCGGCGGAGATGAACAATTGGAAGAATCTTGTGTCGGAAAAAAGCTCTATGTAACACAAATATGTACTGGAAATACTATCTTAGAAGTCAGAAATTAGAAATGCCTCCCGGTATGCTCAAATTGCTTCTGTTTTTATGTCTGTTTCTTGGGTGTCTCTTTTGTTGTTAATAGGTCCCCTTCTTGAATCAGAGATTTCAGTGCGTTGCTGGTTCTCGATAACTGTTAGATTTACTTCCAATTCTATCTCGCTAATGATTTTGTCCGTGGCGCTGTGTACTTTCTGAGGGCAATGATTTCAAATATTGAAATCCACTCTGAGGAGCTGCTAGTTTTAATTAATGTTCTTTTTATCTCTAGTTGATCGTTTCTCAAGACTTGTTTTGAAGTTGGCCTACTGCAATTTTCCTTGCATTACAAACCATTGATTGAAGCAAATTATAAATCATCCTCGGAGATTTGGAGGGATTATTAAAACCCCTTGATTAAATCAAACATTGTTAAAGACTGCATTGTGAAAGCACAAGTATGAATAGTGTGTATGCTTGTCTCTATTCGTATCTTTATCGAGATGCTTGAAGTGAGTTAATGAGATGTTAGAAAGACTTGAGTCTTTGATTTCTTGCACCCGGCATGCACCTTCATCTCAGTGTGCTTGATCTTAATCCTGTACTTCACCATACTTTCTCCGATCAATCTTGGTTTGACAGGTAGTCCAATTTCTTCCAATTTCATCAACAAAATAAAAATAAGTAAACCAACTCAACTGCCAACAGATATGCCTTTAATATACATCTGATTATAAATATAAAAGTTAGTTGATTAATTTGAATAAATTAAAAAATTAAATTAAGTTAGTTATTTGTAATAAATAGATTTTGTCTTTTCTAAAATATAATTGCTAATTAAGTTTATTGATTAGAACTATTACTATCAGAAGGACTATTTTAAAAAAAAAGTATGAAAAACAAAATATATTGAAATATCATATTTAGAATATAAAAAAAATCTAACAAAACCTGGACGTAGTATTTATCAACAAAATGTGATATACTCAAAAGATGGAAATCATTAACAAGTGATAAGGTGTCATGTCTTGATTAGTTGGTTGTTGCCCGCAGGTTGCAGGATCAAACATTCAAATCAAAGCCATGTCAAGCCGGCCGCAAAATGCTCACTTGCTGGCATCTGTTCTGTTGACTGTCAAAAAAATTAAAATAAAATAAACGTTTGGCGGCTTGTGTTTCTTTGGACGGCTCTTGGCTTCTGGAAGGTTTTGGAGAGCCCAGCCAAGCAGCGTATTTCTTCCATCAGCACGGGGAACAAGAACAAATCAAGGCATTCGGCAATCAAATAATGACGTAAGCTTCCTCTGATGACACATCATCCAGCTACCTTTCCATAAATTTAATATAAACAATAAGTTTGATGAGAATACAGCAAGGAGGAATCGTTAAGTAAATCAATAGTTAAAAAGAAAAAAAAAACCTTGTGTGATGAAAATTTCAAAGAAAAATATCATGTCCAAAGACCGAATTCATAAATCTTGAGATGGCAAATAAAAATAATAAATCCTTAATTTTCAAGGATCCTTCTCTGCAAAAAAAACAAATATATATAAAAACCAATTTTATATGGTAGATTTTTTTGGTAAGAATAATAATATTTAAAATAATAATAAATTTTAAATTTGAAAATGATCCAATAATTTAAATGGAGTCTAAGATAATATTACATGGAAAAGTCTACTTGCTTTCTCAATGCGTGACCAAGAAACCGCGTGGCTAGCACATTTGCCGTGTTTGTGGTACAGATAAGAGCCGTTGACCTGGTAGGTTTTGCCACTCTTGCTCATATTGCTTCAAAACTAATGGAAGAAAATATTTATTAATTTTAAAAACTATTGAAATTTAACCACCTAAGTACTAATAAACCTGTGTAAAGTTAATTTAAAAGTAAGGTAATTTTATAAAATATATTAAAATCTCAACTAAATCTCTCTCTCTCTCTTCCTCTTTGGCTGCTGAAGGACGGTTAGCTCTTACTGGAGGCACTTCAAATTTAAACTGTGAGGGGAAAAAAAAAA